AGTTTATTCTGTAATCAGTGGGTTTCCGCTTCTTCTTTTGCTGTCTTCGTGTCCTTGCGCAGCATACTTCTCTAGATACTTCCCCTGACTTGCCCGCTGTGGTCAGAGGGCCTGATGTTATTGCAGCCTCACTCCTGTCAGTCTGCTCCAGGGCAGCTGTGGCTACAACATAGCTTAGCACCATCAAACTGTGACTGGGTTTGTGGATAACTAAATGTAGTGTGAAGTTACCCATATAATGCCATACAGGCAATTTACTATTTGCTTATGACAGTAAATTTGTTCATAGAACGTACCTTTGTTTGAGAACTAGGTGCGGTAAGAGTAGCACATTCGTGCTCTGAGAAGTTTGCAAGTATCCGGTTCGATCCCCACAGCCTCCACTCTGGTTTCCTGAGCAAGGCTGTTGCTCCCTGGGCATCGCACAATGGCAGCCCACTACTCCCCTAGGGGATGGGTTAAGATGCAGAGAACTAATGTCCCCATTTTTTGATTTACAAGTTACCTTTTCTCATTTATGTTTACTTTTGCTATATTGATGTTATAGGTAGTGACCATGTGAAGGGAATATGTCAGTTTCAGCTTTTTTTGTTTGGCCTTTGCTTATGTTGTTTTATGTATTCTGACAAGAAAACTCTAGAGGTTTTCTGATTGAGCCTGTCATAAATACATTTTGATGATGTTTTTCTTAGCTTTTAAGAGTATTTCCACAACTAAATTTTGGGGTTCAGAAGTAGAGAACCAGGCCACCTTGACTTTGATTGCTTTAGGTTCAGCCAGGTACATTTTGGCCAATTTCACAATCTTTATAAACACTTAATCTTGTCTGCAACCAGTAAAACAAACCACCTGCTACACCAGAGCACTGCTGTCTACTGCCCTTCTTCAGCCACTTAGGCCAGGTTATCCCACATCTCTTATCAGCAGAAAAGGAAATTGAAAATCTGACAACAAAGCAAAATTCTCCATTTAGAATCTTATTACAATCAAGCCAGGACAGACAGTATTGATTAAATTGGAATGAAAAGTGCTCAGGGTTTAATATTATAGATTAAAATCCCACCAATGAAAACTGTTTTGGACATTTTCAGCATCCCATTTATAAATGTTTGTTGGTGCAATAACGGTCTTGTTTACCCCATTTCATGGTTGGATAGTTTTTAGGGTGTAATTGGTTATGAAAGACTGTCTGTGAGGAGCTGCTGCTGAGGCTTCATTTGACCTGCTGAGAATAAGGTTTTCTGCCTGTGTCATACCTCTGCCTCAGGCCATAGGAGCATTTCCAGTGTGTGAATGAGTGTGCATTTGAGAAGCATAATGTAAACTCAATCCGTTTGCACTTTCACTGGAAACACAACATGACTACACTGGTATTTCCATATCAGCACAAGAATTAGAAGTCAGAGAGGAATGCAAATCAGCCAAGTTACACAGAAGACTATAACTCTGCATTTTTATGCAGATGTGGGTGTCTATTAGTGGACCACAGTTATGACTCAGAGTTTCACACTCCGGGTTTCATGATACTTATTATGGGTCAATAAATAAAGATTTTTTTTGTCCTGATTATCACCGGTTCTTCTTTGATAAGAAGCACTCTGATTTTTTCATTACAACACCAGTTTAACCAGTTCAACCAGTCCTATCGGTTTGAGCCGTTTCTTGGAAAAATAGCCAGATGGAACTTTTGCTATTGTCTCTCACTACTACTACTACTACTCCACTGGTGCTCATTTATTTTACAAATGAAGGCATGACACTGTGAAAAAAAATCTGAATGCTTCACTTATGCTGATGAAGCTTCTCAGTCATCCAGGTGCACCCCCATGCTCACTGTGATTTTGTATTTACAAGTGTTAAATGGCTAAAAAACTAATTTCCAACACAGTCTTGGAAGATTTTAGTCAGATTTGTTTTTTTTTTTCCTTTGAAGATATCCAATTTTGCCATCTTCTCTTTCATTCTTATTCCCATCCTAGTCATTTGTATATACTGTAATTTAAGCACGTTTGCCACAGGTGGAAAAAGAAAAGTGTCTGGAAGCCCCTGCAGTTCATTGGTGGTTGGACTCTTTAAAAAGCCTCCCTAGACACTTTCTTTCTTGTCTTTTTAATAACATTGGAGAATAACTATTTTTATCATGTCACAGTTGCCCCAGATGTTCTCCAGTCATTGATGATTATTTCATCATGCTGTATAGGGTATAATCAAGTGGAAATGTTTGTATCTTCTTACCGATACCTTCGAACAGCAAGATATTGAGCTACCTTCTGGAGCTTAAATGATAAGAGTAAAATCAGGAAAATTGAATCATGGGGTGCTTAAGCGAATATTTAGGGATAGATATATCCCTCATGCAATGTTATATTTTATGTGGTAAAACTGCACATCTTATATCAACCCTTTTTTAGAATTAAATAACTGAAATTTATAAATTTCAAGAGATTTTTTCCCCCCTGAGATGCAGCTGTAAATCATTAAAAACTGGTCCTGAGGGATGCTGAGGAAAGAGGAGGGTTCCTCACTCTACCACTAGATGGAGACAACGGACAAAAGCAGCCAATCTGCACTCAGAGCTGCAGGCTGGGCAGTCCCTGATGGAGGAGGGCCGTCATGCCTGTTTCCCCATCTCTTTGTACGTTGAGTCAGAAAACCACGCCGCACTTATTTCCACCTCCAGATTCACCGTAGACTCCTCGTGGCTGAGCTCGGCCTGAACATCAGCCAGAGCCCGTCCAGGACAGCGGCGGACAGAGAGAGGAGAGGCGGCAGCACGGGAAGCGTCAGGGAAGAAGAAGAAGGAGGAAACGACTGAGGCAAGCCGGGATGTCAGCGATGAAGAAGAGAAACTCCAACTCCTCCGGAGGCCGGGAAGAGGACAGGCAGGTGACGGAAAGGATGCTGTCCGCCGGCTTCAGTCCAGCCGGGACACCGGGGAGCGACGCCAAGAGCCCCAGCAGCCTCCTGCCGCCGGGAGGAGCGGAGGAAGGGGTCGCCCTGAAGAGGACCATCACTCTTGTAAACGGCGTGGCCATCATAGTGGGCACCATCATCGGCTCGGGCATCTTTGTCACGCCGACCGGGGTGGTTCGGGAGGCGGGCTCGGTGGGTCTGTCCCTGATCGTGTGGGCAGTGTGCGGGGTTTTCTCCACAGTGGGAGCGCTCTGCTACGCGGAGCTGGGGACCACCATCAGTAAGTCAGGGGGGGACTATGCTTACATCCTGGAGGTGTACGGCTCCCTGCCGGCTTTCCTCAAGCTCTGGATCGAGCTGCTCATCATCCGGCCCTCCTCGCAGTACATCGTTGCGTTTGTTTTCGCCACATACCTCCTGAAGCCCATGTTCCCCCACTGCCCGGTGCCGGATCAAGGAGCCAAGCTGGTGGCCTGCCTCTGCATCCGTGAGTATCCGGACCGACCGGCCGGACGGAGCCGAACTGGCCCGAGCCTACTGAGTGATGCAACTTAGTGATGATGTTGAGTTTCTCTCTCTCTCACCTGCGTAGTATATGTTATGGAGCACGTGCGTAGTAGTACAAACTGTTCTCGCGCGCATCAAGCGGCTCAGAGATAAGAATGAAAACAAGCCGCGTTATTACATCAGCCTCCGATGCTCATTCATCCTCATTACAGAACTCTTAACATAACTTTAATATCCGATCAAAACAGTAACTGTTAAATATATATTTTATTTTCTCGTTTAGATTTAAACATTTTCTGCCGATCATTCGGCTGTAGTGATGCCTGTATAACCAAAACAAAGCGCGAAAAATATGCATATAGACCAACGAATAAAATATTTCATTTTGTTGTATATAATTATTTGGCATAATAGAATAAGAAATAATGAAAAATATTTAAGTTGCATGATTTTGTAAAAATAATCAACAATT